GTATCATGTTGTAAGTTATCTGTAAAATTTCTATTTAAATGTCTAATTGTATTTTATTATTTGCCAGGATGATAATCCAAGAAAAAAGAAACATTTGAAAAGTCAAAAGCAGCTCTAGCTAATGAGCTAACTGTGAGACAGTGACCTAATTGCTAGCTTATTTTGAGGTAATGAACTTACTCCAAACCAATGAGCTAACTACAAACCAATGAGACAACTACAAACCAATGAGACAACTACAAACCAATGAGACAACTACAAACCAATGAGACAACTACAAACCAATGAGACAACTACAAATCAATGGGTTCACTACAAACTAGGAATGCATGATAAAAAAAAATTCAGCCGATATCGATATCCAATATAATTATTGCTGTTATGGTCGATAACCGATATTTACCGATATTACACAAACACACAAATTATGTTATACATATAAGCACAAACACACTTGTGTCTTTTTTGATACTGTAAATAAAAACAGACCTTTGTCATAGCTCCCTACTTCAATTATGACTGGCTGTGCAGCATCAATATCACTACCATGATCTAACAAATCAAAAAACCATTTCCCCTCCCAAAACAGAAACATAAAGCTAAATGGTGGGAAATCAATATCAGACTTTAATATTGGCCCAGTTTTACATATCGAGCCAATACGGATATTCTAAAAAATTACCAATATCGGCCGATACTGATGTTAATGCTGATATATCGTGCAACCCTACTATAAACAAATTAGCCAACTACAAACCAATGGGTTAACTACAAACCAATGAGCCAACTACAAACCAAAGAGCTAACTACAAACCAATGAGCTCACTATAAACTAATGAGCTCACTATAAACCAATGAGCCAATTACAAACCAGTGAACTAACTACAAAACAATGGGTTAACTACAAACCAATGGGCTAGCTACAAACCAATGAGCTAACTACAAACCAATGAGCCAAGTGCAAACCAATGAGCCAAGTGCAAACCAATGAGCTAACTACAAACCAATGAGCCAAGTACAAACCAATGAGATAACTACAAACCAATGGGTTAACTACAAACCAATGGGTTAACTACAAACCAATGGGTTAACTACAAACCAATGGGTTAACTACAAACCAATGAGCCAAGTGCAAACCAATGAGCTAACTACAAACCATTGAGCCAAGTACAAACCAATGGGTTAACTACAAACCAATGGGTTAACTACAAACCAATGGGTTAACTACAAACCAATGAGCTAACTACAAACCAATGGGTTAACTACAAACCAATGAGCTAACTACAAACCAATGAGCCAACTACCAACCAATGGGTTAACTACAAACCAATCAGCTAACTACAAACCAATGAGCTAAATACAAACCAGTGGGCTAAATACAAACCAACGAGCTAAATACAAACCAGTGGGCTAACTACAAACAAGTGAGCTAAATACAAACCAATGAGCTAAATACAAACCAATGAGCTAAATACAAACCAATGTGCTAACTACAAACCAATGGGTTAACTACAAACCAATGAGCTAACTACAAACCAATGGGTTAACTACAAACCAATGGGTTAACTACAAACCAATGAGCTAACTAAAAACCAATGGGTTAACTACAAACCAATGGGTTAACTACAAACCAATGAGCTAACTACAAACCAATGAGCTAACTACAAACCAATGAGCCAACTACCAACCAATGAGCCAACTACAAACCAATGGGTTAACTACAAACCAATGGGTTAACTACAAACCAATGAGCCAACTACCAACCAATGAGCCAACTACAAACCAATGAGCCAACTACAAACCAATGAGCCAACTACAAACCAATGTGTTATCTGGTCACTGATGTGACCCACATCAGCTGTTTGTTTATAGATAAACATGCTATTTGTAGTATAGCAGTTCTTAATTTGCTGTTCATTCAGAGCCTCTGACTGTATACTCTGGTGAAGCATTTCATTTTTGTAACGAAGTGCTGGAAGCAAAGAATCAAACTTTAGGATTGATACGGTTCACAACCAAAGTTGGACGTGACAAAAGTTTCTGAGGATTCTCAGTCATCCAGGACATGGAAAATGAAAAAAAAAAAAAAGACAAAGCAAATGGATTCTGTTCTGTAGCTGGAGATGTGTGGAGCTACAGATTTAAATAGTGTGACTCGAGGTTAGTGTCTTTACTTTGAAAAACATCAGATATGTATCTGATTAAGTAACACCTACCAAAAAGGCCTGGAACAGATTTGAAAGTTTAAAAAATTCTGATTTGAAAACATGGATCAAATCAGAAATATGAAACATAAAATACATATACAACATGTAGTGTTTATGTGGATGCAGTTTAGTCCTGATCTACAATTTTTAAATAATAATTTTTTTGAAAAGTTATTTTCTGAAGTGGTAAATGCTTAGAAAAGTTTAATAATTACATATATTTACATTTTTTTTTTATCAATCTGTTTCTGAGGACATCAGCAGCTGAAAAGTTGTAACAAAATAAAAAAAGTGTTGATTAAATCCTTATTAATCCATCATGTTACATGGAAATAACAGAAAGAAGATTAAATCTTGTTTAGGTGACGGTAACTCAAATGTTGGGTAAATAAGAAATATTGAGTGATGACGTCATAATTGACAAATTACATAATTGAGCCCCGCCCCCGATAAAGCTGTCCCATATTTTGGAGGGGCTTATTTGGCAACCCTATATTGAGCGAAATATAAGCTAATGAGCTAACTGTGAACTATTGAGCTAACTAAATGCAAATGAGCTAACTGTGAGCTACCTGCTAGCTAGTATAATGGAACTGACATAAGGAAGGGCAGATGTAAAGTGTACACTATTTTTAACAAAAACAAATCCTGTCAAGCAGAAATGATCAAACTCTTGGCTTTTTTTCTGTTTTAATTAGCTACAGCTAAAGGAAACCGTTCCTATAACTGACCATCTGCCGAGCTTAACTTGGACTTGCCACAACTTTTTCAGAAAGTCGTATTTGTCTAGATCAACTGACCCAACACACATTTAAAGCATTAACATGGTTGACTGAAGTGTTTAAAATAAAATGTAGCACCTAAACAACTCTTACTGCCGGACAATAACAGACCACACACTTGAATCCACAGATCTCCGTGCGTTTGGGCGAATAGTGAGTATAATTCCACATTCTCCACAGTTTTCATTCACGCCACTGTCCCACTTGATAAGCATGAAAATCCATTTATCTACAAAGCAACTGTACGGTCCGCAGTGGACAATGTCTCTTTCATGGTCCCTCGCTGGCCCCCTTTTTTGTGTCCACAAAGCCACCCAGCTGACTCCATCACGTATGTAATAGGCCACATTCATTTGATATAGACACATCAAGGGAGACGTTGGGAGTTGTTCCGCCGCGCATCAAGAGGAGTGGAGCTGGTTCACAGGGGGAGAGTATGCTCTGAACATAAAAGAACAATGGAGGCAAAGGCAGATGCAGTTAGGCCCAAAAAAAGAGCAAAAAAAAAAAAAAGAAAATAAAGTGTACACCAGGCAGGTCGAAATACAAGTACCTCAGAAAACTGCAGAGAACAGGAAGTCCCGGCTCGTTTGTTTTAAACGGAACTCTGACTTGTTGTAATGTTAGATAAACATTAACATTTAATTTAACTACAAAAAACAGACAGTAACAAAACTGTGGCCTTTTAGTTTTTATACATTTGAAAATTATTTTATCACACAAACGTTGCTGTTATTTATGTCACAAAGCACTCTGGGTAAATAATGTAAACTGGCTGCTCTGCTCTGAACTCCATCCAACGTGAAAGAGAACATATCGGGTAAAATAAGTATTGAACACGTCATCATTTTTCTCAGTAAATATATTACTAGAGGTGCTAATGACATTAAATTTTCACCAGATGTTGGTAACAACCCAAGTGATCCATACATACAAAGAAATCAAAAGAAATGAAGTTATTTGTAATAATGTGGAATGGCACAGAGAAAAAGTATTGAACACACTTACTGAAATTTATCTAAAAC